GATGTTCCTGGAAATAGTTATTTTGTTGTTTGTCACTTCTATTTAAGTTATGGAAGCTTATATATCTACCAAAGGACACCATTTTCATGGTTTATAAAAGCAAACTCTATAGCTGATGCAAACAGGATGCAGTTTACTGCACTGCTAGACCCCAGTTAGAAAGTAATCCATCTATGCATGCAAGCTGAAAAAAGTTGTTCTTGGTTAGCTATAAATAACCTTTCTTGTCTCAGACTAAACCCTTCTCTCCATCCAAAAGAAATGTTCCATTTTTCAACTGGGTGCGTTTGATTTTTAAGTGTGAGAGAGTGTGTGTGCGTAAAATGCCTTATAGACATCAGAAAATCACTCCTCAATGTTGCAGCTTGTTTGTGCTACATTTATTTTACTGGAATTAAAGCTTTTCCTTTCTTTCTTCCATCCAGGAAGAAAGTTTACATTTAAGTTGTTTCCATATATAATATGCTATTATTTGTAGCTTAAAATATCTGGGGAGGGGGTATATATATAAAGACATTGCAGATTTGGGGGAGCATAAGAGGTTGTGTGAATTGAGCCTGTGCTGAATGGTGCTAGTATTTTTTGTTAACATAAATGCTATTCTGGCCTGCTGTCATTTTGATGAGACCTCTTGCTTTCAGTGATGACAACTTACGAAACAGATGTCATGTTTCATACCTTTTTTGTCAGGAAAAAAGCAGCAAGCCTTCAGGTGTTCCAGTGATGCCTAACACATATTGAGCTGGACTTTATGCTGTACTTTACAATAGGTGTGTTGAATTGTTTTGGGGGAACTGTGTATGCACTGGCAACTAAGACAATGAACCTCAACTGTACTGGATGGCTCCTTAGGCGATAGAGGAACTAATGGCAGCTAAACTGCTACTAAAAGGTAGAGTTTCTTCATGCTGAAGCTATGAAATCCAATTATACGTTCTGTTCCTCACCAAACTCTGAAGTCTGAAACTTAGCAGTCTTTCTCAGAACGTTGTAACTTCTGACACATGCAAAATGCTAACGTGAGTTAACCCTCAGGATCTGTGTTGTATTGGCTGGTTTTAATCAGATGATTTTTCCCCAAAAGACTGCTCTAAGTTCTTTGCTGAGCTCAGCTGGGAAAGCAGTTCCTCTTCAGCTGAAGTAGTAACGCAGGAGCGTCCCACCTCACTGGCAAGGAGCAAGTTGCATGTCACCACTGTACCTTGGAGAAACTCCACTTCTTACCTCCTCCTGTTGATCCTGTTGCTCCTGTTTGTTTCTCACTCGTGCATCTTCTCAATGGTGCTGTGCTGTGTGTCAGGAGATAACGCTGATGTGTTGCTGTTCTGCTAGTATAATGAATTCTGTATTCGAGTATGCTGATGAAATAATGAAATCAGCTAAGCAATTCCTGTTCATTACAGTGTTTATTAATTATATCAGATGGAATATAATCCCAGTAAAAAGCAATTAATGTTACCAATCATGGAATGATGAGCATAAAGTAGAAAAGTGTTCAGAGAGCCTGTAATGGGCTCCTTGGCACTCTGGATTTAGCCAGGAGACCCAGAAGGGCACTGCTGGGCATTTCTAAATTCCAGTTGATTTTCTGTCTGGCTATAGCTTCCTGGTGCCATGCAGTGAGGAGAAGGAAAATGAAGTTACAGAGGTTCAAAGTGAACCAGAAATGGAATTTTCAAATACTTCCGCTTTTCCTGAGTATAATCTGCAGAATACATTGTGCTTTTTTCAACACTTCTTTCCATGAGAAACACTGAAACAGCATGTTAATGGCTAAATTTTATTAGTACCAATGGGAAAACTGGCCTTTTTCCCCCATAGGATGAAAACATACTTGTAAGGTTAAATTGCTTATTTTATATTATCTCTCATAATTCAGCTATTGGTAAGCTAGGATCACTGTTGTGTGTTAACACTGTTCAGAAGATCTCTATGTCAAGTTTGGGTTTTAAGAATTCCTTTTAATTATCATGTTTTTAACATCTTATTTATACATCAATGAAATGTATTAGCTTGCTATTATTCCTTCATGATGCTATAAGAGTTCACTGTTTAATATACATATAGTAACTACTATTCAGTTTCTGATTAAATTTACTTAAACTTTAAAACCAAATAATTTTGCTACTATAAAGTCTTGCACTGGACATATTCAAGATGCTCGCACCGTATTTTGGCAGAAGAAAAAGGAGACACCATCAGAAGTGCTGACTAGCAAAGAGTATCTTTAAAGTTAGCAGTTAGCTTTGTCATGTTCTTGTATCTTGGATTTAGTTGAAATGAATCAAAAGGGGGGTTGGAACTCGATGATCTTAAAGTCATTTCCAACCCAAACCGTTCTATATATCAAGAGCCATTAAAGATCTCTGTTCTGAATGAAAGCTCATTGAGTTCAGTCAGGACAAACCCAAGCCTTGTCAGTGAAAAGCAATGTGTCTGTGAAAAGAATTACTTGGAACTACAATACACAGAGTAATTCAGATGAGAACTGAACTCCCTCCCCCACGTTTGAAGAGCTTTAAAAGGCAGAGCAATGTGAAGTCATTTGTCTGATGGTTTCATTAGCTGTGACTCTGCTGTCTTTGTTATATGTATAATAATGTTTCACGCTTAAGAGTTGGCAGTTAAAACAGCTGATAACAATCATAAATACTTTAAACTGCAGACTTCATTTCTGACCACAAAAAAAGTTTATTCTTCTCTATTTTAATGCATATATTTTAACACTGCTTAAATATATTTATGATGTTAGTAGAGATTAGACCTTTCTCCTTGTGATTTTTTTTTTCTTCCAAATAGAAACACCTGTATTCTAAAATTTGAACCACTTTCTGATACTTTAATCTTTCATCATTTGCTTTTCCACAGGTTTACTTTGGGGGAAGCAGTAATCAAATAACTAGTATTGGCACCCCATCCTCTGCTGTAAAAAGCCTGATTAGATACTGTGTATGTTTTTATGTCCATGAACTTGAGCTACTCGTGTGCAATTATGTGTATGGGAATGGAGTAGTGTTCATGATCTGTATTTACATCATCATATGGATGTATATTTATTAATAAAGTTAATACTTTAAAACCTAAGTGGTTTTTCCCTGGGTTTTTCTTTTCAGTACCTTTTAAATCCTGCATGAAGATGTCTCTTGGATATGGAAGTGTGTTTGTTCTCCTGACATCTCAGTCAGAGATAAGTGACTCAAACTGGCACTGAAATGTTTTGGGGTACCTTGTCCACATTTCACTTCAAACCCTTAGATTAGGGTTAGGGTTTGTCTGCTGCCTCTCAAAGTGTAACTGACACTGATGGACTGTGTTCATGCCTGTGTGGACTTCAGAATGCACACAGGGCTGGTGAGAGTTGAGAGGTCACTGTGTTGGGTGATTGGATAAATGGAATTAAATTGACATTTCAATTAAATAAGCCCACCCTTTCAGTATACTTTGCTTTCTGAATTCCAGCATGAGAGGTGTAGTGCTTCCTACAGGCAAGTCCTGTAGGTTTGAATTAAGGCAGAAAGCCTGAATGAATTGCAAGGTATCAAAAAATAGGGGAATATTGGTTATTTTAATGAATTGAAAATACTGCTACAGTAACATAATTGTTCTTACCCTTCCACTCAAATACGAGAAGAGGGCAGGAAAGGAGTTACATATAAATAGTAAGCTGCTAACTTCTTTTTTCCTCTGTTGCACATGGAAATCAATTTGTAATGCTCATAAACTACACTTTCACGGAATGGTGCTCCTTGTTCTTTATTCTGTGATGAATGAGATCTATTTATCTCTGTATTCCGGCAATATTCCAGTTTTCCTTTGTTGGTAAGATGTGCTCTGCATACCCCCAACCCCTTTTTTAGTTCAGTGTAATTTTTCCCTCTACTGATGTTTCTCAGTGATGATGGGGAAGCCAGGCAGTGCTACCTACCAGCCAGACCAGCTCTGTGTCCTCTCTTGCTCTCCAGCACCCTCTGTTTTCTTCTCCATGTACTTCCAAACGTTTCAATACAGGGTTGAAACATTTAAATGTCAGTTGCAGGTGTTTAGGTTGCTTTTACCTGAAAAAGACATCTGATGCCAGTTTAGTTTGGTTCTGGCCATTCTGGTGATTCTCTGTATGTGGCTTTCAAGGTGATTGGGTACGTCCAGCACAGAGTTCCACAGCACAGCTTGCCCCCTCCTAGCCTAAACATCAGTTCCTGGATGTGATACCCCGAGCAAGAGATCAGTTTGATTGTGAAGAAACTTTCAGTATTGGGGTATTGTCAGTCATGGATTAACATCATACAGGAATCCAGGCTTTTCGGCTGTGTTGAAAGTTGCCTGACTGCTCCCATGGCCACTGTGTTCTCTGCCATGTAATGAAATGAAGATTTTGTATCCTTTAATATTAAATGTATGATCAGACACCAAGACTTACTTGCTTTATAGCAAGGTTTAGGTTCTATTTGCAGCTTTGTTCCTCTTCTCACACTAAGGTGCATGTATAGTTAAAACTTTAGTGGGTCGGTCCTTGCAGGTTCACATATATTCAGTATACGGGTTGCTTAGGTCAAAATACATTGATTTTTCATAGAATCACAGATGCTCCAAGCCCCTGTGTCCAACCTGGCCTTGAACACTGCCAGGGATGGGGCAGCCACAGCTTCTCTGGGCACCCTGTGCCAGCGCCTCAGCACCCTCACAGGGAACAGCTTCTTCCCAATCTCTAATCTGTGCTTCACTGCGGTGGGTAAGCAGGCAGATCTGGCTGCCGGGGCGCCCTGGCTGCAGCAGGCCCTTGGGTTGCAGGTCCCCGCGGGCGATAAACCCAGCCCGGTTTGTGGGGTGCTGGAAGAAGCCGGGACCGCGCGGAGCACCGCCGTACACGCAGCCGCTCTCGGCCCCAGCCAAAACAAGATGGCGGCACTCCGCCCTCACTGGGCTAGGCACGCACACGCACGGCGGCGTCACGCCGGAAGCGGAAGCGGAGCAGGGCTCCGGCGGAAGTGGCCGTTGTCCGGGGAGACGCCGTGCTGCTGAGGCGGCTGGACCGGCATCGGGATGTGGCGGCTGCTGCTGGCGCTGGCCTGGCTCGGTAGGGCCCTGCCTGCAGGTGAGGCCGGGGGCGGGGCCGGCGCTGGGGCCGCTTTGACCTCTAGGGCCCGGTCGGTGCGCGGAGCTGACATCTCCCTCCCGTCGCAGGGGCGGCGGAGCAGAGCGCGGAAGGGCAGCCCCGCTGCCAAGGGGGCGGCCCCGCGCAGGACGGCGGCGAACCGGTGCGGTACCGGACTGCGGAGATGGCGGACGCGATGCAGGGCTGCGGGGTCCCCACGCCGCAGCAGGCCGTGGTGCTCTCGGTGGTGCCCGGGGAGGCGAAGGACGGCCCGGAGGCCGCCGGGGCTACCGGGGTTTGCGATGCGGCGGCCGGAGGTGATGCATGCGGTGCGGGGAGCGGTGCGGTGGGCAGCCAGTCCCAGGAGCAGGCCGGGCTGGAGACGGTGCCGCCTGCACCCGCCGAGGAGGCCAACAGCACCGACAGCGCCAAGGCTCCCAAAGTGAACTGCGAAGAGAGGAACACGACTGGTATGGAGCGCCTAACGCTGCAGATCCTGAACGTGTCGCAGGTGGGTTACCTCTCAGCACCACGTGTGTGTTGCTTTCAGTGTCTGGCTGAGTGAATGTCCTTGTGTAACATCCTCTGTGCTGTCAACAGGAGAAAATGTCTGGCCAGGGAGGCCTTTTGTGTCATTCTGAGTACAAAAAAATGGAGATACATCTCAGTCCACATGCCTGTGTCTTATCTGTATGCAGTGAACCATCAACCTTTGTGCTGCATGGATTAGTGTCTCTGAAACTGTTAATGGTGCTTATTGCCAGTACCTATTTCTAGTTTGTTTCTTGTAGTGGTTGTGCGTATATATATTGTTAAGTAATAAGCTTTTAAAACAACCTTTTAAAAAGGTTAAATGCAATTCTTCATCTATTAAAAAGGTTAAACAAAGGTGCAGCTACTTGATAAGTATTGCCAAGTATCTAATCGATTGCTGAGTGATGCGTTTCTGCATAGAATTCAACTCTATCAAATACATAATCATCCATGTTTGGTTTTCTCCTTCATTCTCTAAGGACCTGATGGAGTTCCTAAACCCAAACAGCAGTGACTGCACATTGGTCTTGTTCTACACGCCATGGTGCCGCTTTTCTGCCAGCCTAGCACCTCATTTTAATTCCTTACCTCGAGCGTTTCCAACTCTTCGCTTCCTGGCGCTGGATGCATCTCAGCACAGCAGGTAACTTGCACTCCCTGTGCTCTAGCGTCAGTTTATTTCCTTTAGCAATCTCTGTCTTTTAAAACAGGGTGGCTTTTTTTTCTTATAAAGTGTCAGTTTAATTTAGTAAAACTGCCACTTTGTGTATTGTTGGTATCTTTGTTTCTTCATCCAGTGGATTTCTTCTCCTTCATGCATTGTATTTGCTTTATGTCCACCAGTTTATCAACAAGATTTGGAACTGTGGCTGTACCCAATATCCTCCTTTTCCAAGGTGCTAAGCCTATGGCTAGATTTAATCACACAGACAGGACACTGGAAACACTGAAAGAGTTCATCTTTAATCAAACAGGTAAATGAATCAGCCCTGATGTGTCACTGGGAGGAAGAGGCTGGTTGTAGCTCCAAGCTGAGCTTTCCTCTCCCTGCTGTTTGTTCTCTGAAATTAATTTCATTAAGACCCAGAGAGGACCCAGCAGAGGTTTATAGAATCCGTTGCTGTAGTGAGCTGGGCTTCAGAGTGTGTTGAAACTAGGAACTGAACTCGCTGGGCTGCTGTCACAGAACAGGGGGAAACAGCAATGTTTAACCAGAGAGGGTGCTGGAAGGTTTGATCACATCCTCTTGCCCAGCAGGTTGAGGGAAGGGATTCTTCTCCTCTGCTCAGCTCTGGGGAGACAGCCCTGCAGTCCGGTGTCCAGCTCTGGGACAACAACACAAGAGGGATGTGTTGGAGTGAATCTAGAGGAGGTGACGGAGATGCTGTGAGGGCTGTACACATACTGTAGTCTGGGATCAGGGGCAAAGCTCCAAATGGAACCAGCTTCTCTGTGTTTAATGATTGTTTCTGGTGTTGATCAAGTGCTTTCTCTTTCAGGAATAGAAGCTAAAAGTGACGTGGTTGTGACCAAGGAGGACTGGGAAGGGCCCCTGCCCAGCGTTCTGACAAAGGGCATAGACTGGTTGCTCCTGTTCTCACTGCTCTTCCTGGCCAGCTTTGTCCTCTATGCCACCGTGCGCACGGAGAGTATTCGGTGGCTGATCCCGGGACAAGAGCACGAGCATCAGGAATAATCCAAGATACTGAAACAGGAAAAGAATTTCCTGCTTATTGGAAAAGCAGGAATTTGTATGGAGTGGAAGCACAGAAGGACGAGCTGTTGAATGTGGTGGTTGTAATTTATAATGTTGACTAAAAGTCTGCTTTATTTATCAAGCTGTAAAAGTGGCAATTACTGTGGTAAGTAAACAAATATGAAAACCGTGAACTGAACAAGTATTTCTTAAGCTGATCAGCTTATTGTTCCTGGACTGTAGCAAATAGGTGGTGCAGTTCTCCTCTGCTCTCCTGAAGAGGTCCTCAAGCTCCATCGATCAAGATACATACAGCATCACCCTGGCTTGGCTGTGTGGCACTGCCTGGCACAGAAGCAGAGGCACTTCTCGCGTACAACCTGTGGAAGTTTTTTAGATCCTACAGACATAGGAACTAAAGCTGCTGTGTGATGTGGTAAACACATAGAACTAGGATGTGTTGACCCACACAGATCATATTTGGGTTTTGGCTTGTGTATTCCTGGAATGTTTCAAAGGAAACCACTGGTGAGTGGCGATGGTGCTAACTGACTGTCAGGAAAATTAACTATGAGAAAACAAGAGGTTTTGACCTTACTCTTTTTTTTAATAAATCAGTTTTTTAGTGTAACCTTTTAAGTCACTTTCTCACAGGGCTAAAAGCATGAACTTCTGAAGTACTGATCACCTGCCCCACTTAGCAAACCCAGAGATTTGTTTAGATACCTACCAGCACGTTTGCTGGTTGCACAGGCTGCAGCTGAGGCTGTGTAAAGAACTAATATGGTTTCTAGCTATAATTAGTGTGGAAGACTTTGAATGAGGTATGGACTGGTATTTGGGGGGGGGACGACTTTGATTGTCTGGTTGCACGCCATTTATACACAGGGCAGGCTTGACATAGTACCCTGATAGGAAGCTTTAAAGTGCAAACTGAGCTGAAATGAAACAAAGACACACAAACCCAATAAGACTCACTGTTTTCAGAGCAGTTATTTGGCAGGTATTTTTCTGGTGTATGCGTCTTTCCTGTTTGGCATCCCCAGGCTCTGTATTTCTGTGTATGAGAAGGAAACTGCGCAGATAAAACGTTGGTATTGCTGCAGCTAAAGCCAGGCTGTCTTCTATTAATAAAGAACGAAGAATCTGAATGAATGGGAGCGGTTTTAGCTCGGCCAGGCAGCCAGTTTGAGAGTAAGGGCTGCATCCTCCCCAGGGACGGCGGTAATTCCTAACGCATACCTGGGTAACGGGTGTCACCTGGACAAACAGCGCTCCGCTCCGCTCCCAGCAGCCGCGGGCCGGGGCCGCGTGTCCCGGTGCACCGGAAGGCAGCAGCGGGGACACCGCTTCCCCCCCCGGCTCGGGCCGGCGCTGCAGCGGGAGGCGGAGCCGGGGCCGGGGCCGGGGCCATGGCAGGCGGCGGGGCCGCGCTGCGCAGGGCGCTGCTGGGAGCGCGGAGGGCGGCGAGGCCGCGGGGAGCTGCCGGTGGGAGCCGCGCTGCCATGGTGAGGGGCGCGGCGGAGGGAGGGCGGCGGGACCGCGCTAGACCCTGCTCGGGGAGGGGGGACCGGGACTGGGATACGGCCACGCGTGGTTGGGGAAGAGCCCTCCGCGTTCCCTGCCTGCCACGGCCATGAGCCGCGACCCCATGGGCGTTTGTGTTTTTACATGGACCCAATGGGTAATTGCAGCTCAGGTTCAGAGCCCCGCCTTGTACTAACGTTTTATGTAACTAACAGCTCTTTCCCCCCTCAAAATGAATGTCACCAATAGCCAGGCTAAACTCACTATATCGTAGTGTGTCGCAGGTTGGGTGCTGTCATGCTGTGTGCTAAGGTACTATTTGTGTGCTGATGCCCACGCCGTGCTGGTCTCACTGCATGGTGCTATGCATGCAAAGCTGTGAAGATGCAAGTGGCATCTCCCACCTTCTCTTCTTCCCATTACAAGCAAATTCCCGCTGCTTTCTGCTGCATTTCTGCATGTAGTTGTGATGTGTTGGAGGGGCTGACTCAGGACATTGCCTTCCCAATCTGTTCCTGAGCAAAACGTTGCCGTCGCTGTGCTCCAGGGCTTGCATCAAGCCCAGTCTCTGTATTTCTATTAAGATCTATATGATTTCATTCCAAGTCGCAGCATTTTCTCATCAGTACCTGTGCGTCCAGGTGAGACCCTAGGAAAGTAACTGCAACATCCCTAAATCTAACAGAGAACATCTCTGCTGCCAGCCAGAGGAATGAACTTTGTGCTGGCTCCTGGTCACGGTCCTGGACTTTGCTATCGCAAATAAAACCCTCCACCCCCATTCTTCCTGTGTATTATCAACTAGCTTCATCTCAATGCTAGATAATGTATTCCAAGCCAGCCGTTAGCTTTGGCAATTCTTGTATCTTCTTGGAAAAAGAAGAACATTAGAAACTGATGTCTGCAACTGCTGTTACAACAACAAATCTGATAGGTGTGTTCTTGCAAGTCCAAAGTTGCATTTGAAGCATAAAGAGCATGTATTAGTTCCATTTGGGACCTGTAAATCCCGTCTCTTGGGCTGAGTGTATCCAACTGAACACAAGTGGTGGCAGCGATGCTGTGCCATTGATTTATGCCGTTTGGGGTTGGTTTTGTCCCTTACTATTAGTGAAAATGTTGCTCTTTGGCTGCCTGCCCCTTAAAGCCTCGCTCGGGTCGCCTTAATTGAGTTAATTCCTGCTCTGCTCGGGCTCACAGCCCCATCTGGTGGCACTGGGGCTGCTGCTGGTCTCTCACCACCTGGCAAAGGGAAGAGTTTCCCTGAGCTGGTACCCACAGACCTGCAAGGTCTCTGTGAAGCTTTGGGGCAAAATTGCTCGTCCCCTTTGTGGACGCTCTCACAAAGCTGTGCTGGCTGCTGGTACACAGAGGAAAGCAATCGGAATGTTGCTGCACTGGGGAGAGAGGTTCTTCCCATGCAACCGTTGTGTTGGGAGCGTGGGTTGGGACCCATCGGTCACAATATATCATATAGGTTACTGCTTTTAGTCTCTGCTTTGAGGGAAAATATCAAACCTCTTGCAAATGCCACATGGAACTTCATTCTGGAAGCTCTGGCTTCATGCACAGCTTCAGCACTCATGCAGGTATTTAAGCAGGTAGTTTGATGTGTGCTGTCTGTGCTTGCAGTGGCTTCAAACAGGCTGCTCTTGCTTCAAATCAGACAAATTCAAACAGAAGCTCTTTGCAGAATTGAGTGCTCAGAGCAGTAACTTGTAACTTGCCATGTTTGCATCTGTATTGTCAGTTTTCTTCCTTTTCATTGTTAAGTAGAGCTCTTTGTTGCTTGTAGAACAAGCACCAGTAGGAATAACAGTGCATGTTAGCCTCAAATTATCCTTAAATCCATTCCTGCTTTTTTAGCAATAGTAAAAGAAACAGTATGAGTAATATTCCTGTTTTCTTGGGAGAAGTAAAATACAAGATAGATAGAATATAATCTCCTGGTTTGCTTCTGCCTTTTGACATAGATTTTCTCCAATATCCCTTTTAGCCTTATCACTGTACCTTTAGAATGTAATGTAAATAATCCTTTATTTATATGGAAGATTGGAAAATGGCTTCAGGTGTTAACAGCATCTGAAGCAATTCAGATGAACAGGGGATGGGTACAGGTACATGGTGTCCATGTTGCTTCCTATTGCTCTTCCCTAGTTTTGTGCAAAAGCATTTAGCACTTAACTGACCAAGCTGCAGTGGTGCTTTTGGGCTGCTTTAAGTTAAGCTGCTCTATGAAATGGCAAAGTGAATTTTCCACCTCCTCACCTTTCTGCAATCCATAACCGTGATTTCATTGTGCGGTTTTCTTATTGTTGAACAAAAGAGAGCCTCAGCCTCCCTCGTGTCACGTGTGTGTTTGTTTCTCCTCACTAGTCTTCACAGTCCCACTGGTTGACGACGGAGGAGAGGAACCAGGTTTTACTGGATCTCAAGGCTTCAGGCTGGGCGGAGTTGAGCGAAAGAGATGCCATCTACAAAGAGTTCAATTTCAAGAGTTTTAATCAGGTAATTATTGCCAGATACCACTTTTCATATAAAGGAAACGCAGTGGCTTTGATTTCCATGTGCTCCGGATGGGAAAACATTTATATTCAAAAATTCAGGAGTAGCTGTGTGGAGCCAAACCCTCAGGTTTGCCTCAACGGATGCTCTCTGATCCTGAGCTCGTTAGGTGGAGGCACTTAATCCTGGTTTGGAGGTGTTAAGTAGATTTGTTCTAATATTACAGTTTCTTGATTAGAATATTGGGGTCAGGGCCATTAATATGGGATTAGAGAAATAATATTTGATTCTGGGTTGTTTTTTTCCCCATTACTAGCACTTATAAGTGAATACTGGAAATATGTAACTGGTGGGCAATGGGGTTCATTTTTATCAGGGAAAAACTTGAGGAAAAGACTTTTGGCAAATAAGGTAGGGAGAATGTGATACATTCACTTTCTAAGCAGGAAGACAGAGTTCCAGTATGTTCTTGAATGAATCTATGATTCTGGTTTGAATCTTCTATGATCCTATTAATCATAGTAGCTGATCTCACAGTGTGTTCACCATGTCAGACTGCTGGTTAGACCTGACTGGGCTCCTATTAGGCATAAGGATCCCGACCCACATCTCAAACTTACAAGAAGACACCTTGCACACAAACTTGCTATAAGAATACTGAGTTTATATCAAGATCTGCAGTCAGCTGCATCCCCCTAAACAACTGAGGAGTCATTACATTGCTTAGACAAGAATCATGCTCCAGGAGCAGGCATTTCCCTTCTGTTTTGTTTCTGCAGGAGAGGTGAGCGCTTCCTTGGGAGGGAGAGAAAACCCAGGGCTTTGTTTGGGCAATGGCTCTTGCTGAGCTTTTCCTTGCTTTGGGAGGGACGCAGCAAGCTCCAGGATTAGGGAGGCTGTGGTTTGTTGGTGTGTAGGGACCAGGAGCTGTGCTGTGGGCTGTTTATTTACACAGGCCTTGTGCCTAAACACAGACTGAGATGTCTTAGGAAGCCACAGTGAGCTAGGTAAACAGCACTTTGGAACACTGGCTCTTCTCTTGTTCTTTCAGACAGTAGCTGTCATGGTGAGGAAAACCCAGGCAGTGGAGTGGAGGTGAGTGAGGTGCTCCCTGCCCCTTTGAGCTGGGTGAAAGCAAAAGAGAAAACAACTGCAGAAGAATCCAGCTCCTGAGCAGGGCAGTGCTGGACAAGCAGCACATCTGGAGCCACAGGTGCATGATTCATGAGTGCAGGATTGCACTTCAAACCTGAACGTTAATACAGAACACATAGAACTGCATCAGCTGATTCAGAGGGCAGTGAAGGAGGGAAGCCATTGCGGGAGGGCACAAATAAAACCTCAGTGAGATGCTTGGTAGAGCAACAGGGAGAGACCAGCACATTTGACACCAGTGAGATAAAGTAGCTCTTGGAGGAGCTGAGATTTTCAGCCTTTGTGCTTTGACTATTCATGCGGTGGCATTTCCAGCAGGGAATGGTCAAAGTCTTTGGTTCTGCACAGCTAGAAATGACTTCTTTTTCTCCCTTAATTAAGAAGTGGTTTTGCACGCTGTAACTAAGGCAATTTGGTCAGGAGGACTTAGGCAGCGTGCCCACAGAGAGGTCAAGAAACAAATCAGTGTGCTGCACCAGCAGATACCTAGAAAACACACTGGTTTGGCAAACATTTACAAAGTTGTGGGGTGTTTTTGACTGTAGATTCATCTGATAGGGTCATATCCATGTCTTCCTCATTTGAAGATTGGTGAAGTATACCAGTATAAGAAGCTGAATATATTCAAGTATGCTCATTAATAAGTGATGAGCTATACATTTATAATTCACCTTAGAAAGGGTACTGCATCTTGAATGGTTTGGAAGATGTTGGTGCAGCCTCTTTCATTCTTGGTTGGCCTTTATGGATGTTGGGTAAGGCAGAAAGGGGAGCGGAAGGCTGGGAACTGGCTTCACAGCTAAACATCAAGCTGGGCAGGGGGTTCTGTGTGAATATCTGAGGGCACAGTTTCACCTGCTGGTTGTTATGAACTAGCTGCAGCGTCCCCATGTGCAGTTGCAGAGGGCAGAAGCCAGTCCTGTTACACCAGTGCAGGAAAGGGCTCAGTGTGCAGATCCCCAGGGCGTTAGGGAATTAGGGAGCAAGAATTTGCCTTTCAATAAGATGAAGCTGAAAGTAAATTAAACTTATGCATGTGTGCTTATTGCTGCTTATAATGACTGTTAGTAAGTACTGTGTTGATTACAACCTAGGGAACAAATGGCAGAAGTGGGGCTATACCCATGTTGTACTTGTTCTGCCGTGAAACATAGAGAACTTGTAGGAACAAATTCTTTCATTTCAGGAATAAATGTTCTGTTTGCAGTATTGAAAGTGTGAATATTTATTACAAGTCAAAGGACTTGGCAATATCATTTCCTTGGTGATCTTCCCGCTGCCCTGTTACAGATGGTGTAAAATCAGGTGTGTAAAATACTAATAACAGCAAAACAAGGCAGCTGAGCTAACAGGAAGGGTATTCCAGATTTATGTGTTGCAGATGATATTGGGATGATGAATGTATTCATTGCTCTCTATTCTTTATTGCTTGTCGCAGATAATGTTCATGATGCATGGAAAATTCTGTGCCTTTAAAATCTGTGCCAGGTTTACAAAGTCTGTGTATGTCAACAGATGTTAGGAATATAAACACAACTTTCATTATGGAGTCGTGCAAATGTGTAGACATGAGCTTGCTTGATGTGTATTATTTTCAGCATGAGAATGAAATGAAACTTCTGTGAAACAAGAGTTATTTAGATTCCTGAAGCTTTCAGGCTGAGATTAGCTCAGTTAAAAGCGATCAGCGGTGGGGCTGCCTTTGTAAGGCTGACAAGCTAATGACACTTCTGGCTTACGGAATTTGTAACCCACAGCTTGAAAGCGCTCGTGCTGTTTGTTAGTCCAGATTTGTAGGAACACAGAATCCCAGCCTGAGCTCCAACCTCTGCCATGGGCAGGGACCCCTTCCACTGGAGCAGCTTGTTCCAAGCCCCTGTGTCCAACCTGGCCTTGAGCACTGCCAGGGATGGGGCAGCCACAGCTTCTCTGGGCACCCTGTGCCAGCGCCTCAGCACCCTCACAGGGAAGAGCTTCTGCCTAAGAGCTCAGCTCAGTCTCCCCTCGGGCAGGTTCAAGCCATTCCCCTTGCCCTGTCCCTACATCCCTTGTCCCAAGCCCCTCTCCAGGTTTCTTGTAGCCCCTTTAGGGACTGGAGCTGCTCTTAAGGTCTCCCCTTCAGGAGCCTTCTCTTCTCCAGGCTGCCCCAGCCCAGCTCTCTCAGCCTGGCTCCATAGGATACGCAGTTCTTTTCTCGAGTCTTCCATGTCTCTTGTCAAAGTCGGTTGGATTTGACCAGAAGGTTTAAGGGGCAACTGCCTGTGTGATTACATTTCCTTAGGTAATCACGCCAAGGCAGAAAATGCAGTTAGGAAATTACAAAGGTGGGCAAGTTTGCTGATGGTCAGGTTCAGCATTTACAGCTGCTTTCTTTTATAGGGTCCGTTTTTAATTAAGGTTGTTTTTTAAAGAAAAGGAATAAATCACGTAGGAAGTCTCCATAAGACCTCTAACGTCATTTATGAAATGACAGGAAATCAAATGCTCTAAGAGCTTGAGAAGCTGGTTTAAATACATCTTGTGTTTGAAGGCTGCAGGACCCAGGCGAAAGATGAGCCTGAGTGGAGAGGACAGTGAGGAGATGCTTTGGAGCAGTGTGCAGGGAGAGTGGAAGCACATGTGTTGCATTGCCATTGCGGGGTCTCGTGTTTTGAGCGGTGATTTAAAGATGTGCAAAACCTCTGGAGCTATTAAATCAGTTCTTATTCTCACTTTGCATTTCCTTCCCAAATTCACTAGCTCGCTTGCTTGTAATCCAGGGAAAAAAGAGCAGACAGAGCATGTTATGGTAGGTGCTTTGATTTCTTTTTCCCCTTCATTGAAATGCCAATTATTTTCCTTTAGCTATAGAGAGACAGGCTCAGATTTGCTCCTTTAAATTCATCATCCTTGTTGTATTATGCCAGTTACACATCAGAATGAATTTGGTGGGATATGCAATGGATACTCTAGAGTTATTTTGATGGGGGTACTTGGTGCCAGTCCCTGTAATATAATAGGCATCGAGATTTCAACTCCTTGCACATTGCTTTGTCTTCTGCATCGATCAAAGAATGGAAAAGTTGTTTTTATATATGTAGGCTGTGTATTTCATTGCTGCTTTATGCACTTAATCTTTTGGCTGTTGGGCTGAAATACGTCCACGCCTTTTATATATTGCAAACATAATATCCTTTAACCTACAATCTGCAGAGCTGAAATGAATTTCATGTTAAATATTCGGTCGTGGGCCACATCTCCAGCTTTTTATATGCCACAGCGGTCTTGTGGGGTTTTTTTTTCTTCTCCATTGTCTGATAGTGAGGTCATTTTCAGTCCTCTGAGAAATTTTATTCCCAGCCAGATGCAGGCCATATATTAAAAGTAGCACCTGTGGCTAATATCACAGCAGCTTACCATAAATTTACATGGTAACTAGGATTATATCTGTCAAGACTGCTAAAAAATGTCTAGATTTAATTTGATTTCCAGTATTGAAGGAGCTCTCCAACATTTTGCTTCATGAGTATATTTTAGAAGTAAAAATCACTCCATTGTTAAGTTTTATGGCACTCCCAGTGCCCATTAAGTTGATTTGTTAAATGGGGGTCAGAATAAAGCAAGTTGGCTGCGGGAGGATCGGAAACCAACCCAGTTGTGACAAATTTGGTTCGCGCATGTGAATCTTCTCAGAGCACGGGGAGTGATTGGATTCAGGCACAGCTTATGTCAGTTGTGTTTAACCTCAAAGCCTGAGCAGCCTCAGCCCTCGACTGTCACTTGTGCTAAGCAAAAGGTGAACTTGTTTGCATTCATTTTGGGGGGGAATCGCTATTTTAATACAGGGTTGGTCTGATAGAGTTTTGCAT